CTAATTATTGTTTGCTGTGTTATCTCAAGGATCTCGGCTAACTTTTTTTGACTTAAACCTGCTTTTTTGAATTTGATTATTTGTTGAGGACTTAATCTTACTTTCTTTTCCATATTTAATTTTGGTATTTCTTTGGTATTCATACAGTATATATTATATTTTAGGAAAAAAAGAAAGGGGGAGTAATGCTCTTTGACAGTTCTTGCTAAAAACTTATTTATATCTATGAACAAGGAAATAACCGGCAAGGGCAAAAAAACTTATAAAATAGGACCATGGAAAGATTATCGACACCGTATATATATGGAAAATAAAAATAAGCCTAAACCAGATTGAGTTCCCAAAGATTTAAAGAAAAAATGTTTTCAGTGTAAGAGTAATATTCTTGTTAGTTTTGTCATTCCTAAGAAAGATTATAGTTGAAAAAATAGTTTAGAATATTGAACTGAGAATAAAGACAATAAAGATAAATACATTTGTAATAAGTGTTTAATTGAACTTTATAATGACAAACCCCGTTATTGAAGCACGATTACTAGTTTAAAGAAAAAACAAAGAATGAAAACTTATATCTACACTGGAGCAATCTCTTTTCGGAATAATTAAATTGTAATCATATCTACTTACCCCCTTTGTGTCGGACTAAACTAAAATTATAAATATGGCACAAGTAAAAGTCCTAACTAAATTTGAAGGAAGACAAGAAGAATATTTTGGAGACCATAGACAGGGGATGACTTTTACCTTTTTTAAGTTTGTTTCCCAAGAAAAGGATAACGGAGTTCCTAAATATGAAATATTTGTTATGGCTTCGGATCCAACTCATCCAGTAATGGAAGAAGTTAACAAAAACAGTGTAATCAGTCTTTATAATGAAGAATATTATAGAGAGAATTATTGCTGAGAAATATCCTTTGTAGATAGTAAGGATTTGTTAGCAAAAGGCAAGGATAAAGCAAAAAGATATTTTTTCTCTGGTCAAACTCCCCAATCTCCTCATAGTAGCATTAAAGTAATTAACAAGTTTTATGAGAATAAATTAGAGGAATTAAAAAAACTAAATAACTTAATCCCAGGCGAGGAAAGAAAGTGAAGAGATTTTATTGGTAGTTTTAGCCTACGATTAAATGAACTAACCAATAAGGATGCTTCTAAATATCAAAAAGGCAAAGAGTTTATTGATGAGTTAGAAAGTGAACTAAATAAGAAAACTGGTAAAGGAAATGATGACAGCAAGAGAGAGAGAGAGAGAGAGAGAGAGACAAGAAAATTGAGGAACTGAGGAAGCGAATTGCCAAATTAGAGGCTATTGTTAATCGCACATCCCAGCAAGAGCAGGAGTTAAAGGATAAAAAGCAAGAATTAGCCGAGTTAGAAAGGCAACAGCAAGGAGGAGATCCAAAAAATCCAACTAATTACTGACCTTGAATAATTGGGGGAGGAATTATTGTGGTTCTGGTGATAATTGTTATTTACTTCCTAACTAGAAAACAGAAAAAAAGAACCCTAAAAGTCCAATAAACTCCTTAAAATAAGGGGTATTATGGCGACTTTAGAACAAGCTATAGCAAAATTAAGAGAAGTCCAAAAGTTTACCACAGTAGGCAGAGTGTTTACTGAGGAAGAACTTAAGATTAAATCAAGTGATAGCATTTTAATTATTACCTTAAAAAAACATATCCAATGTTCGGAGATTATTAAACAAAAAGACCAAGATATCGCTAGTTTAAAAGTTAAGATTGGGGAGTTAGAAAAGAAATTAGAAAAA